CTGTTTTGCCTTCAACATAAAGCAGATTGAAAATCAACAAATCAACTATTACATTTCAATACAAATTATGTACACATCAATTAAACAAATCAAGATTTACAAATCATCTTTTACAAATCAATTAAACAATCAAAAAATAATAATTATTCTTATTTCTTCATCAATTATTGAATCAATGAATCAACAACTTTGTGACCCCGTACATCCATTTCACGCAGCTCACTTAAGGATTAACCTGCAGAAACCAAACATTTGCTCAAACAAGACTTCCTACACATCTAAAACCTACAAACAGCAAATTATTGAATTCTAGGTACTTAACCAAACATTTTCAAACCAAAAGGAGTATATATGTTAACAAAACTTGCATTTGACTTACCAATTAACAATGGACACTTTCATAACGCGGATGCAGGTAGGCAGCGTCTCGAATATATTGCTCTAGCCATATAATGCCGAAACCACAAGCCTACTGCAGCTTTATCTCTATCGGTGGGAGGTAAAAACTCTGTGCTTCCCGTCGTCAAACGCGCCAAGCAAAGGCATACGAGAGGACCACAATCCCCTCTGGCTCCCGGCGATTGCTGTGGCGCGGTCTCGTCTCTGACAACTGTGACATTGAACTTCTTTGGCTTCTTGTGTCCAGAATGACTCCAATACTTAATCCCATCCAAGAATTTAGCCAAATGAGAGCTCCATCCCTTGAAAATATCTCTCAAATCAGACAGTGATATGTAATTGATCATGCTGTCATACACTATTATCTTCAGGGATGGGAGCTGAAGTTGGACGAGAAGCACGTGACAACGTTCCAAAGCAGGGATAAACACCTGCGATCATAAGTAATAATTCATTTATTTGCGCACTTATTTATTAACACCTTTAAAAAATTTAAAAAATAAACACTAACCTTATCGACCTCCCACCATGCAGGATAAAGTTTAGCTTGTCCATTGCCCAACAAAAATGATTCATCTCGTTGATTCTTCAAGTGAACTGCGTGAAAAGCCGTAAGCATTATTGTATATAGCGAATTTTTTTTATTTTTCCTAAGCTTCCTTATTATTAGTAGACGTGACACCCACGCATCGATATGCTGTTTTACAAAAAAATACATATATTAGTGAATTACATTAATTTTTAAACAAATTAATCAAAATCATATATAAGACAAATATAGTCTTACCTCCCCATCCAAATAGCCACTGTCTTCAACCCCTAATAGCACACCCCACCAAGACCGATCAAGCAACAAAAACATTTCATCGTTGAGTTTGTTGATGTCAGTGTAACACCCTTGGCTCCGCTCATGTAGATAAAAATCAACTGCGGTCTTAGCCCAAAGGGTATTATCCACAATTGTTTCCGGTAGTTGTCTTCTCTCCACTTCAGATACCGGAAGGGTACTAGCCGGTAACTCATACGAGAGCCAACTCTCATCCATCATGTCCGGAACCGGTGGGGGTTTCTCAATACTTCGATATATTACCCCATGTGAATCAGGCTCTGGAATGGTGGGAGGGACCTCTTCAACGATGACAGTGGCCTCTTGAACGGTGGGGGGGGAATCTTGAGTGAGAATAGGGGCCTCTTGAACGATTGGAGGGGACTCTTGAGGGATGACCGGTGAGTCGGGCTTCTTCTTGCGGAGTCTTCGCACCATTGGGGTGAACGGAGACGTAATAGCACGTCCACGCCGTCTGATGCGTGAACTCCGTCGTGCAAGGAAAACCCGACGTAAAGCATCCACCTTATCGGGCCGCTAAAAAAATTAATACATAAATCAGTAAATAAACAGACATGATATTAAACAAAGACAAATATGTTTCAAACTAGCATTGTATTCACCAAAATCATTATTCTATCATAGTTCACAAAATGCTCAGATAACATTCCAGAAGTAAGCACTTATATAAACATTTAAAAGGACAACATATATAAACATTCCAGAAGAAGAATAGTTTACTTTCGCAACACGAAACTTAAAATCGCAACGCGAAATGACTATCGCAACGCGGAAATGGTTATCGCAATGCGAAATGAAAATCGCAACGACAAAATCGCATTGCGATTTTCATTTCGCGTTGCGATTTTGTCGTTGCGATTTCATTTCACGTTGCGATTTGTCGTTGCGATTTTCATTTCGCATTGCGATAGCCATTTCCGCGTTGCGATAGTCATTTCGTGTTGCGAAAGTAAACTATTCTTCTTCTGCAAATTGAAACTTGAATGGATTGCATTACTTCAACCAAAAGACAAAAACAAAACCAAAAACAAATACTAACAAAAACAGATTGGCAGCAACCGAATGAATTACGAGTATGAAAATCTTAAACTTACCTCGTTGCGTAGAGTATGAACCTCATTCTGCAACGATGCTACCATCTCACGTAGAGCGGCTACCTCACCCCGTAATGTAGACACCTCAACACGCCATGCACCATCGTCTTTGCGTAAAGTACCGACCTCCTCACGCAAGGCATTGACCTCATCACGTAACTCCCCTAACTCATCCCGTTGAGGTGGAGAACAGGGAGATAAACGTCGTGGCATCTTTGCCGGTCGACTATCTTGCGGTGATGGTGGAGAAGAGGCTCGATGATGTGACAGAATAGGTGATGGCTGTCGTTGTGGAGGTGTATAGCCGGGTCGATCAGATGATGGCTCTGGGTGGGGTGATAGCTCTGGGCGAGGTGATGGCTCCCGAAGTGGAGGCTGCTCATCAACCGTTCCATCAAAAAAAACACTTACTAGCTTACCACCAATCAGTGGCAAGCTCAGCTTCCGTGGGTGTCAGCCTCTGTAGAGGAGTATTGGCCTCCTAACAATATAAAAGCTCAAACAAAGTTAAATGTGTACTAGTAATAACTTGTTTATAAACATATGGTAGTATTTATGTTAACTTACATTATTTATTGTCGTATACCGTAGTAAATCTTCCCATTGCAAGGTTCGTTTCCTCTTCCAGGAAATAGCCCTGGGAATATTATTTGAAGTTTTTATTGCATATGTCTTCATGGCGGGAAAGGCCTCAAATATCCAAATCTACAAACAATATAATAACAAACATTAGTAATTGTTAAATAATTACTTCTAATTTTGGAAACATTATATAAAAATTCTTACCTTAAAGGCCCAAATAAAGCCTGTCAAAGTGTATTTGGAACCATCGCCATGCAAACTTTTTCGATCATCCAAGGCAGACGATAACTTATTCCATGTAGCTTTCCATAAATACGAGCCCCACGGAAACAGGTTCCACGCATTTAGGTCTTCTACCAATTTGATTAGATCATTTGGAATAGGTTGTCTGGCCTCTCTGCCTAAAAAGCCGGTATGCAAAAGAATTAGAAGGCATACTCGGACAACGTCGACGTCATCCATCCGAGTAAAACCATCTTTATTATTCAAAAATCTTGTCAGGTCTTCTACGTGTAGACTCGGCCTCTCCAGCTCAGGAAAAACCCGGGATAGCCATGATGGGCGGGTAATGTGTCTAGTGTACCGACCTACATCATCGTGTCCGAAGCGTAGACCGGTGATTAAGCAAAACTCCTCCCGCCCAAAACACGTATACGCCGGTGGAAAATCAAACCATATCTCTTCATCACGACGTTGTATAGTCTCTGGTAGATCTCTAGTCATAGTTTGAAGAAACAGGTGTGTCAACATCGCATCTCCACCGGGATGTTGTACTTTCAGCCATGGCCCGAAGCATGTATCCTCAAACATTTTTCTTTGTGCAGGTGAAAGCTTCGACGCAATTGTTTTGGCCAGGCTGACTTTATTTCTCAAGGTCAATTGAGCCGAATAAAAGTTCTACAAAAACAATAAACATACTAAATTAGATATACCAAAAACTACACTGTGAAGATATACCAAAAACAATAATAAACAAAAATAGTAGTAGTTTATTCTTCAAACTTAAATATGCAACACTGTGAAGTAATCGCAACACGAAAATGACTATCGCAACGAGAGAATCGCAACGCGAAACTAAAATCGCGTTGCGATTTGCATTTCGCGTTGCGATTCTTGGTTGATTTAATAAGCAATCTAAGTGAAATGGTTAATCTATTATTGAAATTACCAGTAAACTTATCATCAATTTCAATATGAAAAACCTAATAATAATGCAAAAATTTCAAAAAGAAAATAATTAAAAAAACTAACCCTCGTTGGTTGATTTGGTTGATTTTCCATTTCTGATTGTGAGGGTGGCTCTGAGAGATTTAGATAGACGGATTTCGCCGGAGATGGGGACGGATTTCGTCGGAGATGGGTGAGAGAGTGAGAGATGGAGATGGGACTGAGTTGTGATTTTAGGTTTTAGGTTATGAGTTACGATTACGGGATATACTGTGGACAGTTCAGTGTTCCAATATATTAATATTCATGTTTGGAATTTAAAAAATAAAATACTTGGCCAGGATACTAATGGCGCTTTGAAAATCGCATTGCGATTATGTAAATCGCGTTGCGAAAGTCAGTATCGCGTTGCGAAAGTAAGTATCTCGTTGCGATTTTGTATTATCGCATTGCGATAGTAAGTATCGCATTACGATTTTCCCAATTCGCGTTGCGATTTACTTATTCGCATTGTGAATTGGGAAAATCGCAACGATACTGTAGACCATCGCAACGCGATTTTCAACTATCGCATTGCGAAAATACAACGCGAATTTGCGATAATGGAGATCGCGTTGCGAATTAGCGATCGCATTGCGATTTTGTTGGTCATTTTGGTAAATCCGAAAAAAGTTGATTAAAATCGTATATTATATGGGATTTTTGGTCACTGAGGTTATTTTCTCTTTTAAATATAGTATTAGTAGCTGACCAAAATACTATATGGATAGGTAGTTTACCCTTTTTGTTTTCCGAAAGGAGTTAAAAATATATGAGAAAATTGTTTATTTATTAAAAGGAAAAAACTAAAAAGATGATAAAACCCAAAACCCTATTGGCTTTTTCTAAAATCTCTGGCAGTCATTCAGCTCTCAACCCCGACCTTCTCCGTTTCTTGCACCTTTATCTTCTTCAATTTATATCTCTTCCTCTCTATCACATTCACTGCCTTATAAGTGAGTGTTCACCTTCTTCTTCTTCTTCTATTTCTTAATGTCAGCTTCATGCTTGTAATTTCGTGTTTATTTTCTATAATTCTACTGGACAACCCACTTGAGCTTTTGCACTTCACTCTTTTCTCTTCTATCTTCGGTTCTTTTAGAGGGACCCTAATTCTCAGGAGTTTCTCTGCACTGAACCCAGAATTTGGAGGCCATTTTTGTTTCCAGGGAAATGGGTGCTTTTTCTTTTCTTCGTTTTTATGATGATGGTGACATTGAAAATCTTCAATCCGTTCTTTTACATGTTTTTATTTTATATTTATTATGATAATACTTAGTAGCTGCTTCGGGTAGTGGAAGACTTTAATCATTTTCTACTCCTATTGTCTTCTTTGGTTGCGGTGGAGGGGATATTTTTGTTTTACTTTATTCTGTTATTAATGATTGTTCTTTGATATTTTATTTTGGAATTCGCAGCATGTTTACTTTGGCTCGAGTTTTCAGCTTTTTGGAATTTGAATTAAGTTAGAGGAATTGGTTTGTTGAAGGCTAGGAGAACGTGGTTGGAAATGAAGAGGAAATCGCAACTTCAACTTGTAGAACTTGAGGACTTATATAAAGGTTTTTTCGGCTGTGGATAATTTTTCTCTTTTAGTATTACAGGTTAAAAATGCTGTTGTTTAGTTAAGTTTTCAATCAGATATATTAAGATTGTTTCTTAAAGTATAATCTAAATTTAAGCTAAAAACCTTCTTTTAAAGTCTGACTTCCCTTTAATATAGATTTTCATCAATGATTTCAGCTGTCTGATATTTATACATGATTACTTATCCCTATTTTTTCTTATCATGTGAAGCAGAAAAAATATATCCTACGCAGGAGGAGATGGAAGGCTATGCCGTGTCTTTAGGACTAACTCTGAAGCAGGTTCTGCAATGGTTTATCTATAAGAGGAAAAGGGAGAAAAGAACTATTTTATCTATTCATTCGATGAAAAAATCTTCTGCTTCTATAAAATGGAATGTCAGTGGCATTTTTTCTGCTAGCGAGAATCATAAAAGCACTTCTTCGGTTGGAGCAAACTGCTTCAGCAAGAAAAAGAAGAAAATGCTTCTTCCTCAGGATTTGTTGCCTGCTCTGTATGTTCTAAAGAAGGTATTTCGCAAGGATGGTCCTCCGCTTGGTGTGGAATTCGACTCTCTTCCTTCCCAGGCCTTTTTCCACTGCAAAGGTATGCTACTGGAAGCTTGTTGCCTTGTGGCCTTAGTGGTTATTTGATGCTATTAACAATTATTGTTATTTTCCTTAAAAAAGGTCTTCAATTTGTTTGGTGCCATAATCAAAATTATGTTGGAAACCTCATTCCATTTCCGGTGCTCATCCATTGAGATTTTTCAATTTTCCTTGTTAATGATGTACGTATAACCCGTGAAATACAGTCCTAACTAGTGATTTTTTTAAATTTATATTGTTTCTGTTTTTTTATCTTAATCTATGTAGCTTAGACTCGGGAGTAAGTTTCAGACGTATGGGTTTTTTTTATAAACATCGGTGTATTTCAATTTTTTTAAGTTTTCTATTTAGAAGGTAAAGGTTCCATGTATATGTTTACTTCAATAACATGTTGGATAAGTGTCTGACAAGGATACTTGACCTAACACAGGGGGTCGGAAATAATATAGACTGTTACAATTTGATTTTTGCTTTTTCTAGTGTTTTTGGCTGTTCACGCTGTATTTTGATGTCTTTATGGACTTACTCAGAATTTCTATATTTAGGTCCTAAAGAGTCTCATCCTGCTGATCAAGAGTGCAGAAGAGGAGAAGCCAAAAGGAGAAAGGTGTGAAGAATGTTTTCAAGATGTTCATCTCCAATTCCTACTTCTGTTTTCTTATTTGTTTTACTCTTGCTTCTTGTATTTAAGGTTTTGGAGTTTACTGGCTTGGACCATCAGAACGACAGTAATGAGAAAGCTCCAGTGAAGAAACATGGCATTGGAAAAGGTTTGATGACAGCTTGGAGGGTTGTGAATCCCGAGGGTGGAAATATTCCTACTGGTGTTGATTTTTCTAATAGAGAAATCGGTGCTCCTCCTCAAATTAGTCCTACAGTACGAAGACAACCACCCCGGAACAAAAGGCGACAGCCTATAGTATCTCAAATGGTTAGCTATCAATTATTTAAATCGCAAGATTTCATGTTGACTTCTTTCTTTTAATGTTCTTAGGAAGCCTTTTATTTATTTATTATTATTCCCAGAAAACTCTGTGGTTATGTGTCTGATTGATCATTTTCTAGATTTTTCTTAGTGGTCTTATGTAAAAAAATATGCTGACATTAACTTGCAATTTCAGAAGCAGAGAAGTTTGAAGAAGTTGCAGGAAAAGAAGAAATCATGTCTGCAGGTAGTTGCTGATTTTGTTGCAGCAATTAATGAGAATTGGTTGAGTCAATGCCACCATATTGAACAAGGGGGTTGTACTGTTATTGAAGAAATCATAGCATTCTTTCCAACAATGCCCCAAACATCATCTGCACGTGCACTCTGGTTGGTGAAGTTGGACGAGTTCATTGCATCATATTTGAAGAAGGTTCATTCTGAGAAGGAAACGGGAAGTGGGACCAGTTCAGGTAATATTCCTTCTTTATCTTCAAACTTTCCTTACATGTGTGGTGCTCCGGTCATTGAAGCTGGCAAAAATGAGCCCAAAAGACCCGAACTTGAGAATAACTCATGCTCAAATTGGCTTGAACCCGAAAAGCCTAAACCTCAAAATGCCTAAACTTGGAAAAACTCGAACCTGAGCCTGACCTGAACCCCAATCCGAATTTAATACTAAAAATAATGTACCAAATTGTAATTAATTTTAAAGGCTTATTGTAATAAATTTTAATCAATTAGTTAAATACTATATATGATTTTACACTAATATTTTTAATAAATTAATTATATATTTTGCATTAATGAAATAATAAATTTATAGAAAGTGAGATTACTACTATCACACAAAAGCTCTATACTATTAGTATTTAATGTTTTTAATAATATTTTATTGGCAATATTTTAACTTTAGATTCTTGGATCATAAAGCTACATTACACTGGATCATTTAATCCTTGGTTTACATGATTTATGTATTATCAAATATTCAAATATTTATATATTACCAAGGAACATCTCTATCCACAACTGATAAAAAATTAGGGGGAAAATATAAAAGAAATACATTAAATATGTTTTCAATGGAAGAGAAAAAAATACGATCTAATAAGTAAAAGCACCAAACAACTAATAAAAATAATGATTCTTGATATAAAACATTGAATTCACTATTTTTGTGAATAGCATCAAATGGAATTATTTATAATTATTTCTACGTTTATATATTAAGCAAGCAGATAAAGTTTGAAAATATTATATATAATATAATGTTAAACAAACCCGAAGCTGAACTCGAAAGACTGGAATCCAAATGACCCTACCCAGACCAAACCAATTCCCTCCCTATTGCCACTTCTAAAGTTGAGCATCCTGTTTCTTTGTATTCTCTATATCGATTGCTTTGTTCATATGGATGAAGATCCGATTATGATATGTAGAATGTGGACGGTAAGCATTCTAATTTCTAATGTACAAGTAGTTGATATTTAAGTTTATAAATATCACACGGAATCTTTGTACATGCTCTTTCGTTCCAGATCCTTTTGCAGATCAGCATGTCTTATAGTCTAAAATTAATATGTTTCTTTCTGTTGGAATTCCTAGAATCAAGGAACAATATCTTTTTTTTCTTAATTCTAGGAGTTTGCCTTATGTAAATAGTCAACTAATCTAATTCCTTGATCTTAGGAATTATTTCCCAACTTAGAGTAGTTCTTCCTTATAAATTGTAATTTACGTTTAGAGCAATAAAGTAAGAATTTCATTTCTTCTCACATTTGTTCACTTTCTTTCTCGTATTTCAGATAGAAGAGCACCAAAAGAATAAAGCCAACCATTTTCAGAGCTCATAAAAATGGGGAGCACATTTGGTTGTACAAGGCATTTGACGTCTTTTCTCTTTTCTCTTCAAATTACTGAACCCACCACGTTTATTCATCATTGGGACCTTCCTTTGATTTCGAAGAATGAAAGCAGAAAAAAGTACGAGACTGTACAGAGCTGAGTTTTGACTAAAATTTCATTTTTGGGTATACCTTTGCTTAGGTAATCTGAGCCTATTTAGATGTTGTACAGAGTTAGGTTCATACATATGCAGGAAAATCAAGTTATATATATATATACAAAACTTACATGCAATGGCTACTTAAGTCAGTTAAATGATTACCATTTTCTACCAATCTTTCTTCATGGTAGAAAAAGGAATGTTGCAGGTCCTTGTCTTAGCAGTAAAAATCTCTTTTTATTGATGTTGACAGCAAACTTGTCATTTAATTTTGCTATTAAGGAATAAAATGGTATCAGCATATGTGGCTGAAGGAGATACGTTAAGCTCCATTTTCTTTTTCTTATTGTTGAAAGATTTTCGATATTTAAGGTTTATTTTTCTGGCATTTGTACTTGTTAACCATGATATCAACATTGAAACTGTGTTTCTTTTGCTTTAGGCAAAACATATCAGAGTAGGCAACTATTGAATGGATATAAAAAACCAGATTCAAACCCCTTGAATGGCTTCATCACCCCAACAATATGAAGACCCCTGTTTACCTAAATCATTATTCCATTGCTTTTGTTTCAACACATTAACATCCATGATATCAAGATGAATGTTTAAGTCTCCGAAACAGCTGAAGAGTCGATGTCTCAGGAAAAACCTCTCATCGGCTGCTGCTGCTGCTGCTACTGGCATTGATACAGCAGTTTGATTCCCAAGGACAAGATTCAACCTCATGTTTCTGCTGATGTTTCAAAGGGAATGCGGCCGAATAATCGTCTTCAAGCATTGCCGGTCCCTTTCCTCTAAACATTGGGTTAGCAATGCCACCCCAAGTCCTGCCACAAACTAGTTCAGGGCACTGCAAGTTCAATGTGGCCACTGTTCCACAACTTGATACATTGTCATTCAGCTTTTGCAAGGTTTTACCAGCACGTCAAGAAGGCTACGTAAGCCTATGACGGCTGGGGAGATGGTGCATCAGTCTACTACTGCTCTCGGAGTCCTCCAAGGATTTATTACTCTGAGGACTATGATGGAAAACTCTCAAGTCATAGGAGGCGTCGAAGGTTTGTTTTGCGAAGAAACACCCTACGTGATAAGAGCGAAAATAAATTTGATAATTTTACAAACCCATAAGGAAGTTATGGTAAAAGGGACAGAGCCAAAAAGAAAATGCTATTTTCTTATTTTTCTTTGATTATTTGGGGTTAGTATTGTTATTGGACCACCGGTTTGCTTCTATTTTCCTTTTAAAAAAAATTGTAATTTCAGTTATAACAAAATGAAATATTCTACGTTCAGACAAAGAAATTTTGAGAAAGCAGTGGTGTATATTATCCTATACTTTCTGTGGATCAGGAAACTCTTCTCTTGATCAGTTTTCTTCTTCTATTGTGTGCTCAGCAATGTTTTTTCCTCGGCCTCAGAATAAACTAAGAAGAAAAAAAAAGAATCCAGAAATGTTTGATGACTGAACAAAATTTAGCAGAAGAATAAAAATTTCTCAAGTATGAAAATGGCGATACTGGGAGCAAGACCAATTGGCTTCTCAAGCTTTCCATCGTCTACTTCATATCTCAGTTCCAGCTCCAGACTCACCTCCTCTTCATTGCCTTCCACATTATCAATGGTTACTTTATTACTATATGCTTCGATTTTGTATGATTTTTTTTATACCTTAGTTTCCCAGCAATAGTCCAATCATGCAACCATCTTTAAGCAAGTGTTATTCAGTAAGTTTGGAGTTCTTAACTTCCTTTTTACCTGCAGGTTGTGGTCGGAAAATCGATTATTTCCCGCGGATGTGTCGCCTGTTCCGCTGTTCAAGAATCTTCTACTCCTACAGGTAGCTTTTCCATTCTTATCCGTGCATGTGAAAATCCTTCTGAACTTAATGTGTTGCTTATATGATATTTAGCCACTGCTGGAACAAACGCAACCACTCCTGCAGAAGCAAAACCATCAGCCGCCGCCGCCAGTGGCGGTGATAAGGAGGAAGCGAAGGCAGAACCGAAAGCAGATACAGAAAAGCCCAAACCTGCTGCAAAGGCTCCTGCTAAAGCATTGCCGGAGTTGATGCTGGAGGATGTCATCCCTTCATTGAAAACAATACTTGAAACTCAAGACGATATCTCTGAAATTGAACTCACTTTCCAGGACAACAAGGTTTCGTTCTGCTCTATCTTCGCTCCAAAAAATTAATCCATATGAAATTTACCTGATGGGGTTTATTAATATCTTCAAACTTCACAGTTGGAAGGTTCATTCCTGAAGGAGGGGTGTCCCTACTTGTTCTGGGCCTTCTTCCCTGATGGAGTCCTTACAGGTATTATAATTTGGGCAAATTGAAAACCAGAATTTCCACTACTAAAGTAATGATCTGATCATTTTTCTCCTATTTGCATAGGTCCAAAAGGATTCTCCTTGTCTTCATATGGCTCAGGAGCAAGCACTGTGGAGCCTTTCCTTGTTGATGAGAAGAAAATTACAGCAAGGCACGTGGTGTTCTGGGTTGAAAAGCGTTTGGCAGCCCAAGGAATTATTCCTGTCTGGAAAGAATGATGTATAACCATAAAAAATATTGCCATGTCCACTGATCATCAGCATACAAAATTTTCCCATTCATTTCTGTTTGAAAAGCTAATTATATTGAAATCCTGAAGCTGTAATACTATATGGTTAGGAATGGCATTACAGCTTTAATTTGTGGAATAGCAATACAACTCTGACTCGTTTCAGCCGTCATTCTCCCTAAAAGCACACATGATAAAAACCTTGGTTTTACAAGAACAAAAGCTCACATTTGATACGAGAGAGATTCACATTCACCAAAAACCATACAAGTTCAACAACAAACATACCTTTCTCCGACTATTGTCTCGTTCTCGTAAAAGGAACGAGAATTCCAAAGTAATATAACATTGTATAGCTTACATAGTTCATAATGTTTTCATCTAAATTACATGTCCAAGGAGCAGATGCCCTGGACCATGCTTTACAGTAAAAAACATCATGTCCCAAATAAGAAACATTTGATTTGAGTGACTAATCAACACATACAAAAGGTACTTTAGAGTGCAAAGTTCATAAAGTACTTCATAAGTCCACATCCGCACACGCCACACTTTGTCTGTAGTTAGTTGTCGGTATTGGCATTCCGAATTGCACGACGAAGTTCGGCTAAGAAATCCATCTGTGAACCAGATGAAGGTCCAGTAGTGTTTGTTGGGGACATCATCTGAGGAAAAAAACACGATAAATGCACAAGGAAAGAAGCCGCAAGATTTACAAGAAGAAGACGTGGGGAAGTAGGGGATGGAAGAATACCTGATGGGGAAGTCTGAAATTCCTCCAGGCTGAATCACTACTTCCAGAGTACAGAACTGGTCTTTCTGAAACAAGGAGAACCACAGTAACAGAAAAATAAATAAATAAATAAAATATAAAAAACAAGAAAGAATGCTAATATTGACTAATATAACACTCCCAAAATCCCCTACACAACAGGCAGACATACATAGAACTGCTTGCGACCATAAAATCTAAGAGAAAGAGCAACTTTCAACTCATTGGTAGCCTTCTTTAACATCTTCAAATCAGTGAAATAGAATGGGATAGGAGTTGGTCGAAATTATTTTAAGAAGAACCATAACCCATGCCTGGGATGAGGAACCTTTACATATGTTTTAACAACTGAGTTTATATAAAAAGGATGATTCATCCACTAGCATAGCTCAATTATCGCTGGTTTGTGCTGACATCTCCAATGATAATGTTGAAAAGCTGACAACCTTCTTGATGCATCAAGTTTGTTTTTTATGTTAGCTTTGTTTAAGTCTGTTATTATTGTTATAATTATTATTTGATGTGTTAAGTTATTAGCAGAGGATTGCTATTAAGAGTTCTGTTATGAAAATACTCTACACGAGGCTTTATTGGGATCAGTTTTTGTTGAGTATCATTACGAGAGCTTTAATAAAGTAGGTTGCTGGAAAATCCCAGGACCTTCTTTTATCCCTGTTCAATTTCTTCTGCCATCTTATTTCAATTTTCTTAGCTGATTTCCTGCTCCAAATAATCATAGCTTAATTAGATCCTAAGGAATATTAGAAACCCTTTTTAAGCCATGGTAGGACACACTAGAAGTTGTGGAAGAAGAAATCAACGCCAGCAAAAAGAGTTGTTTGAGAATCGAGATGAGGCACATGATTGAACTGTTGCAGGTTGAACAAGCTTTGAAGCGACAGGAACATGTGGAAACCCGAATGGATATTCCAAAAACTGCCCGCGATTCTTTGGACCAGCAGGAAGGGGGTCTTGAAGGTGAATCTGATGGAGACTTTGGGGAGGCATATAACCGCTTTCATAATGCTAGACCTGCAAATTTGCAGCAAGGGGTGGAATGGAAGAGCAGTAGTAGCATGCTCTAGAAGTGAGTGGTGGAGTGAAGATCCAAGTGGATGATTTCCATGGGAAGTTAAATGCTGAAGATCATTTGGACAGGAAACCAATGGATGAACCCAAAAAAGTTCTATTTGTAAAACTGAAACTATAAGATGGTCCACTTCAACGGTGGAAGAGAGTTGAGGAACACTGATCACGTCAAGGAAAGCCAAAAGTCAGTAGTTGGGAACATACGAAAGGGAAGATGCAGAAACAATTTCTGCCAGCAGATTATGCTATGGAACTTTATCTAAAATTTTACTTGCTCAAACTGAATGGCTAGTCAGTCATCACTAAACTTGGGGATGGTAACGGGACGAGTTTTTGGCCGACCTGACATGATCGCAATAAAACCCAACCACAACCCAATTTGAGTTTAAATATAATTTTATACTCCCCAAACCCAACCCAAAATTTAAGTGGAAATCTGAATCCGACCCAATTTAACATAATTTTCAAAGTTTCACATATTTTTTCAAAATAAAATTATAGAAAAACATATTAATTTGTTCAATTTAATAACATAAAATAGAAGTACATCTTAATTTAATGTCATAATTCCAGTACCTTATATGGCCATTTTTTACATATTTCTATCAAAGCCTAGCTAATATATACATATATAAAATAGTACTTTTTCATCCCTGACTAAACTACCGAATTTAATAATCTGTCCATTAGAGTTGGTTTGAATGAGACTAATGAACAGCTAACTCGCTATCTTGCAGGTTTGGATTAAAGTACTAGAGAGAAACTAGGGGCAGTTTGTGTCTATAATTTAGAAGATGCTCGACAGTATGCCTTACAAGCTGAGAATAGGATTTTGCATTACAGTGCAAGACCTTTATCTAGTAGGAAAGATGTCATTCCCAAGACAGTTACAGTGGTAAAGAAATTACTTCTTCAAGTTCTATGGGGAGGTGCAATAGAAACCAACAAAGGTGACATAAGGAAGAGTGATTTGCAGGGTTAAACACAATCCAACTTTAGTAAGGCAACTCGTGTTCTTTGTGGTTTTAAAGTATGTGATTGACATTGAGAGTTCAGAAAAGTATATCTCAAATTGGCTTGCGAACCTCATATAACAATCTTATCGTGTAGATAATGTACCGCTACAATATTTGCTCCATATAAAATATCACCAAGCCAATCAAATCAAAACCATAAAATGGAAAATTTTATAAGTTTTCTATTCTTCCACTCACCAGACAAATCAATAGAAGTATCATGGTAGCGATGTAAGGCAGCTGCCCAACCTGCATTTGTAGAGATAAACAATGAATGTATATCAGTCACATGATTGTATAAATGGATTCTAACAAAGCTAGCACTTGTCAAAAACAATAGAAGAGAGGAAAGTGGATTTGAACCTAAGAGCCACCCCAACTACCCTTTAACCTTCACCACTTAACCAACCAGGAAAAGTCGTCCACAAAACTAATTACGCTTCAGCAAAATACTCCACTACCTGAACTGATAATAAAGCCACTACCCTAACCAGGAACCAAAGAAAAAGAAACCCTTTCCAACCATAAGTTGAATAATTCACCTAAATGTAAAGATCAGAAAATCAATAACTCTAACTTCACAGATTAACGGAATAACCAATGTTGGTGGAATTCAGAAACAAGGGCAGTTTTCTTAATAAAAGTACACAAAAATCATTCAAAGTAAGTGTGTAGAGACATCGTACGATTGCTTAAAAGCCGAGATGCGTCGCTTCTAGAACAGCCTTCTAAAGGTATTAAAGTAGGACGATGGTGGTCTTCATTCAGGATACCGCTGCTCCCAGCATCTCCGTCCAGATTATTGTTTCTCGATGCGGCACCTAGGTTCTTCTCTGAATCATTCCCATAAACATTATTAGTCCAATGAAACAATCTGCAAAATTTAATTATTACTCAGTCTATCAAATCAATTAAAATTAAAATTAAAATTAAAATAATTATTTCTTTCCTTTTTTCAAATATGTATATATATATAAATCACCGAAAAATGAATGATCAATAATTGATGAAGAAGCTGACCTCCAGACTTACGGCGGCCGAGAGAACGGTTTCTGCAATTCGGGAGGCATAATTTTTTTTAAAAGAAAAGTAGAGAGAGAGAAACGGAAGAGGTATACATGAAAGAAAATGGAAAAGGTGACAATTTAGGGTTAACAAGTTACCGTTGATTAGGAGGAGCGTAGCGTTTGATTATGGGGGCGGCATCGGGTGCGGTGGATGTAGGGTCTTCCAACATCCTCTTCTCCTCTCTTTTCCTTTGCACCGCCGCGTAAGGATGGCGGATTGCAGATTCCGGAACTTGATTCGCGATTGCGACGCGGCTGGTAATTTAAGGCTGACTTTTGGTTCAAAAGCGTTTCGTTAATTTTATTCGATCAACTCCTTACCAAAACGCATCGTTTCCTTAAATTTCCTAATTATCATTCAACCCACAGCCCACCTAACTAGGGCTGTAAATGAGACGAGACAGATTGTAAACTACTCGAGATTGATTCGGTCAAGGCTCGATAAATACTCGGATCGAATGAACCCGAATCGAGCTCGACTCGAGTTCTTAACGAGCTACTCGATATTCGACTCGAAAAGCTCGTGAGCAGCTCGAAAAAATATTATATTATAATTTTAGATTTTTTAAAATTACATTATTAAAAATATATAAAAATAAACTATTGATAATTATAAAATTTTAAAAATATATGAAAAAAATTCTATAATACAACTACCCTCAAAATTTAATTAATGTCTTTGCAATGAGTTCTAAACTCTAAATCATAAACAATAAAACCTAAATCATAAATTATAAACCCTAAATCATACTTACCTCATAAATCGATACTAAATCGACTAATTAATATCTAAACCTTAAACTCTAAATCATAAACCTTAAACCATAAACCATAAACCCTAAATCCGATTATATGATAGGAGTTAAGTTATGCACATGAAGGTAACATACAAATTATGGAAAATAATGTTATGTGACTCCTAAATAAATCAATCGCATACTTATACATAAACATATCAACATGCAAAATAAATATACACAACTAATTAAAGAAAACAATCCTAAACAAGGACTAAATTAAGATAAATCTAAATGTGATGACTAATTTAAGCTAAATATACTAACTTTGGAATCAAAGCTCCCAAATTGAACTCAGTTTCAAGAAATAA